CCCAAAGAGAGGGAGAGAAGGTTGGCTACTGTAGAAAGTAGAAAATACATTAATATTATTCCAAAAGTTGCTGAATACAATGTGGAAAAACCCTTTTATAAATCCCTTGGGTTGGCCTAATAAAAGAGTCAATCTTAGCCCTTTAATTAAAGCTAATCTAAGGACTCCAGTTTTGTCTAGCAGAAATAAAGACACTAAAATGACCAAGCAACCCAAAACAGTCACATGACTGACTTTTAAAATTCACATGACTTTTAAAATAAAACCCTAATGACCAAACTACCTCTAAATATGACTGATAATCAAAAGAAACACTATGTAGAACTTGAAAACATACTGAAAATAGAATGTAGACTAAAATAAACGACTCAAGAAAAATATAAACAGCTTGTGGAATGATCATAGGAGGCTGCCACTATTAAGGTGTCTAGGCTTGGTCTTCTTTGGATGTTCAAAGGCTCGTAAAAAAATTTCTCCTATCTGCTCTGCATCAGTTGTGTCCATATTAAACACTAAATATCTGATATTCTAAAAAAATATGGCACTTTTATTGCATATGAAAGCAAAAGTAGGGCATGAGTATTTGATTAAAGATGAGTAGAAATCATCTGAATGTTATATGGTGGCTGCAATTTTTCTACACTGATCGATTACTATTAGGATTCATGAACTTAAAGATTAGCATTGCAACCATAGCTAAGACTTACGTTATTTATTATTCACCTTTATGTGCCTATGTACAGTCTAACAAATATTAGATAAATAGTATGTCATGTTTATGGGCCTGTCCTTGTGGTGTCCATATTATATTTTTTAAGGATTGTCCATGTCTACTTGTATGTGTTGTATTTATTTTGTGTTGCACATTTGTGTCTGTGCTTCCCAGCCTTATTATAGGGTTTAAAATGAATAAATTACGATAGAATAACGAAATAGATCTACAAAATAAAGAAATTTCAACATCCGACACACCAATATTTTCTATAGGCTTTACCAAACTAGTGTCCTCCAATATCACATAATTGTTAAATAGATATCTGCAATGGAATTCAAAATTATAGTAAAACAATATGTAGTTTAATTTAAAATTTAGGGTTAATTACAAAATGCCCCCTTGAAGTTTAGGTTATTCTACAATTAACTCTTTCTAGTTTCAATTTAAATAATTTGTCCCATTCAAGTTTTTACTAAAAACAATTACCCCATTTATGTTAAATTTGACTGTAACAACAAAAAAAAAAATAACTCACCCTACCTTTTTTCTACCACCAGACCATCGCCCACCGATTTGTGATTAGCAAACCTTATCCCATCCTAACAAGACAATAACCCCTTCACCTAAGCAAAACTGAAGCACCTCCCTAACATGTTTTGGGGGTAGTGGTGTTGGTGTTTGGTGTTTGCGACGACAGCTATGATGTGGATTGAAATTTGGGGGTGGTGTTGGTGTTTGGTGTCAATTTTTGGATGAATCTCATTTGAATATTGTTTGATTGTTGGTTCTATAGATTAAAGAGTCTCTTTGTTTTCGGATTTGCTTGTTTAATGGGGGTGGGGGATTGCCAGAGTTGGGATTGGGAGACCACCGGAATTAGTATGGACTTTGGGAGGACTGCCAGAGCTGGTGTGGATGCGAGGGACTACTAGAAATGGATTTGGGGTTTGGGGAATTGTTGTCTTTCGGTATGGGTGTTGAGGGATTGTCGGCGTTGAGTTATGAGGGGGAGGGGGCCATAGAAGGTGGGTATGAGGGTTTGGGGAACTATCGGTATTGTAGAAGGAGGGGCCGTTGGAGCTGGTTATGGGGTTGAGGGGTCGGTTGGAGCTGGGTATGGGGTTCGGGGGGTCCATTGGAGCTGGGCATGGGGCTTGGGAGCTTTGTCAAGGAGTGGAGGGTTCGCCGGAGTTAGGGTTAAGGGGTTACCAGGGTTTGAAGGCTAATTTTTGTTTTTTAATGGGTTAGATACAAAGAGAACAAAGAAAATATAATTAAAGATTGAGGGTATTTTAGAACTTTTCTATTTTTCATCAACTAAGTCAATTAATTTAGTCCCACAAAAACTTGAAGGGGCAAATTGTTAAAATTGAAACTAGAAGGAGTTGATTGCAACATTAGTCAAACTTGAAGGGGGTATTTTGTAATTAATCCTAAAATTTAATCATATATTTTTATGGTGCTAACTTTAACAAAAAGACTTAAAAAGTTTACACTAATAAAATTTTTGGACTTGAGTGAAAATTGGAAGGCTAGCCATGGGATCTTATGGAAATCTCTTTTGCGGAAGAATTTATGGACATCTAAAAGTATATCTGAATTTGATATCTTATGGAAAACCAATAACGAATTACACATATACTTCATGTATCAATCAAGGGTAACTCCAACTATACAATTGTCAAAATAGTAATAATAATGTTGATCATAACAACAATAGTAATAAATAATAATAATATTAATAACCATAGCAATACCAATAACAACAAACAACAAAATATAATAATAATTATTATAATAAAGTCGAAGAAGAAACATTAGTTGGAGCTGGAGACTTCATTTTCCCTGTGAAGTGTGGACAACCATATATCTTGTTTTCCCATATTGAAGAAGCCCAATTAGCAGAGTTGAGACAGTGCATGTAAAGCACTTCTATACATAGGTCTATACAGTTGACACGTGAGAGTCAAGACATCACATCTTGTGAAATGATTTCTATGACACTTTGCTAGACAACATAGACTACACTCAAAAACCAATAAGTCTTTTGATTCACACTGATGTTATATGATGTCTTGCTATATGAAGTGTTGAGTGGCGAACGCAATTTGCTTGTCAATGAGACACAGAGGACTTTTTTGATTCCTTTCTATTTGAGCCAACATTTCTTACAATAATGAACCCTCTCATTCCTATCATGCACAATCCAATAAATTGGTGGAGGCGTTGGCCTTAAAGAGGATCAAAGTCGTCACGGGACTATGATTTGGGGCATCGATGATACACTCATTTTGGATCATTTTTTTCCCAGTGACAGCCTCAGTATTCTCATTGTTAGTTCCTATTTAAGCTTTGAGTGAATTTGCATCTCTGCTTTCACCTCTGATCCTACTTCTGCTTTGTATCATTCTCTATGCTTCTAAAGGCCTGCTCATTGTTGCTTGTTTGCTCGCATGAGATTATTTTATGTCATGTCCGTGTTAAGCTTCAATATAGCTTGTAAGCTTGAAACAAATATGTGCTCACTAACCTCTGGTGTAGTTGCTTTAGTAAAACCTCGGCAATTAGGAGAATAAAAGTCACATAGCATTGGAATTGTCCTCCTTTGTGATCTTACTGTTATGGCAGTGAAATTAGCATTCATAGCTTGCATTTAACCTCTCAAAACAGTTAGTTTAGCAAATGTAAATTCATTGTCGAGATTACAATGAATTTGTGGTTAAACAGATTTTGATGTGAGATTAACATTGGCTTATATGCATAATACCAAATTCTCTGAATGAGTTGTTGGCACTTGCTTTAATAGGCTTGAAATTGGGGTTATTGAATGATCTGAGCAGTTCGAGTTTGGTTCGGCTCGGGCCCCACTCGATTTTGTCTTATTCAGGTTCGTTCAAATTTCAAAATAGAGCAAATATGATCAGAATTTTTTAGCTCATTTTTCAAACAAGCTGAATTTTGAGCAATGCATAGCTAGACTCATATGAACTTGGCTTGGCTTGAATAGGTTCATATTGTAAATAATTCTTAATTTATTCCCAAACAAAGCCCCTATTTAAAAGATGATCAAATTCAGACCTATCCTCAAATAAATCCAGGTTTTGTACACTTGCCTCACTCTTCTCTAATAAATTTTCTTGAAATTTGAAATTGTAGAGTTTGATTTTATAGTTAATTATATAGAATCTTAGATTATCTTTTTTCAGAAATGGATTATTTTAAGATTAATTGCTAGGTTTTAGGGTTAAATTTTTGGAAAATTTTGGGGAGTTCGGTTTCAACTCAAATGCTTCCAAGCTTTTGCCTAGCCTTGGGCAAGGATTTAAGCTCGAGAGTTGAGCTTGGCAAGCTCTCGAGCTCGACCAGTCACAACTGAGTGGAGTGTGATAATACTGAAGCTTGGCATTATTAGCTTGATTAGCACCCCTACTTAAGAGCACTTCAAGCCATACACTCACTCAAGCAATATTTCAGACTGCACTGTCTCCGCTTCTACTTGGAACTAAAGGGCTTCTTGTTCAATATTTAACTTCCTAGTTCACTGATTCTCGTGTAATACCTTCACCTTGTGAACATAACCATCTGTTTTAGATTCCATGGATAGGGCAATAATTTGGTTTTTTCTGAGATTGCTTCCTCTTTTTATTGGTTCTTTCCTGTTTTCCAGGCTGTAATGGATTACCACCGAGTAATAGCTAACTATTTTAACTGGAAGGGGGTACACGTGATATTTGTTCTTCGGAGAAATCTTTTGCGGAGACTTGTATCTGTCCTTGCAAATGCTTATGACAGTGAAGCAAAGCTAATCAACGGCACCCACAAGTCTCATGTGCATACAAAAGAAGAGGTCTCTCTCTCTCTCTCCCCCCCTTCTTTTCTCCATTTTATTATGTGCTTATGTGCGCGCAAATGTGTGGGCAAATTCATTGGCCATCAAATCGCTTTTTCCCTTCATGCAAATTCTGATTAGATTTTACCTTATTACCATATTAGTATGATTACAATTTTTTTGCCTTATTACCATATCTGTAGTTTTTGATACAGCGTTTAATTGGTAGTTTTTTATCGTTGTCCACGCATGGGTGCAAATTTCAATCTTCTCCAAAACTGAGAGTTTGTAGAGATTCCTGTAAGTACACCAAAAGAGTAATATTGCCACCAAGAAGCATATGGAAAGCGATCAATGAAAAGAATAATAGTGGTAGTGATGATAAAGTGGATAACGGTTGTCATGGCGACATTAATAATGGTGATTTGGTTAAACGGTGGTTGCGGCAAAGGTGGTATGACAGGTTACAATTGGTTTTTGTTTTGGTAGCTCTGGAGGTAGCAATTTTGTGCTGGTCAGGCCGACTGGGTTAGGGTATGGCCCCTGCCTTACCCATTTTTTCTTTGGGTCCTGCCCGAGAATAGGGTGGGGGCAGATATAATGGTGTTGGGTGATGGTGCCATGGGGATATCCTTATTGTTTCCTAGCAATTATTCTGGAAGTAAAAGTTTTTGGGCTTCAGGAGAAATTAAATGTCGAGACATCATTGAGATATAAACAAAATCTAGATATGAGAGCTCATAACAAATTCTACAATTCCTAAAGGCAATGTATGAAATTCTTGAAAGCATTCGAAACATTTAAATGGATTTGCAATCTAAAACGTCTAGGGATATTTTGCATAAAAACACCAAATCCCCTTCTAAAAATTCTTCAATACAAAAAATAAATGAAAACTACCAGTATATTTGCCTACCAAGGAACCCTTAATAAAAAAAAAAAGGAACCCTTCAAAGGAAAAGAAGTTTATATGTAAAAAGAATCCACCAGTTAGGTATGGTGCAGTGAGGAGCATGTGCTTTGTGTATTTTCTTGGTATTTTTCTAAGTATTATAGGCATCATCTCATCCCCATGATTTTGGCAGGCTGATCTGCTGGCACAATTCAAGCCCACTATCAATGTTAATCTTCTGACACAAAATCTGGCCAAAGCTGAACACACGATGGCCAATTCCTTAGAATACTTCAAGACCACTCGCCACCTAGTACTATATTATGAAGATCTGATGAAAAATCCCAAGGTAAAACACACTTTTCAATCCCACCTTCTTTAACTCATGAAGAATGCAGAAATATTTATATCTTTTATTGTTCTCAGTTACTATCATATGCCCAAGAATTTCTAGGAGTTCCAGTCAGAAAACTTGAGAGCCAGCAAGTTAAGATTCACACAAAACCTCTTTCTGAACAGATTAATAATTGGGACGATGTTCACAGGACACTCAAAGGATCACCATATGAGCATTTTCTCGACGAACCAGATTACTTTCGCTAGTATTTCCTATTTTTTCATATGGTTCGATGATTCTTGGCCGTTGTTTGCAGCACTAGAATTTGCATTTATTGTAACTCATTAATTTTTATGTTGAATCTAATTTTCTTAATGTGGATAGTGTCTGTGGCTTAGCTTTGTTATATTTTTTGAGAGTCATGAAGACAAAGAGATCTTTGAGTCGGGGTTTCTAGCACAGCTGTCCGACCTCACCATATCTTGGGATGATCTTCAAGCTAACCCGAGCATTAGTGTGCACTCAGTTGTTGGTCATTTGTTGAGGTTTTTCCAGGTATAATTACATCAAAGTTGCAGGGAGAACATAGCTTGGGATGAGACTCCAATCTGTGTCTATGGTGCGGGTTTGGATTCCTGACAATGGGAATTCTGCCCCTCCATCATATATGGAGATTGTGGCATCTATATATGAAACAAGCAAAGATGGAATCTTTTCTCAGTTTTCTGCTAGTGTTCTGTGATGACACAGTTTGAATCATGGATGGATGTGGGTGCCATTGCAGTCCTTGTCCTAATTTGTTTATATGCTGTCTAAAGGAAGCAAGGTCAAAATTTAGGTACCGTTTAATAACGCGTTTTATTTATGTATTTTTTTTCTTTTTTGGGTTTTTTAAAGTGGCACTGTTTTTTTTTTTGGCTTGAAAAATCTACCTAAAAAATTGTTACCTAGCTATTCTATTTTTTATTAAATTGTAACTAGATATACTGTTTTCTTTACTTAAAAAAGCATTAATAAATGGTAATTAGTTAACTGTCAAACTCAAATTTTTGAATGTTAACTTGTGAGTTGAAAGCTTAGATACACTTGTAGCAACCAAAACAAAAAAAATAAAGAAACAAAAATCAATATTCTTGAGACTCTAGTGACAACATTTTTTTAGATTATTATTTTTTTTCAACATGTTGATGGCTAGGGTTGATAATTGAGATGAGTTATTTAGGTTTTGTTCTAGCTTTGCCTAATTTATATGTAAAATAGTCGAGTTATTCGGGTTTTATACGAGTATGACTCGTTTTGGGTTCGTGTTTGGCTCATTTTTTAAATGAGTCGAATTTAAATAATTTTGTAGACTTGTTTATAAAAACGACCTCGATAGGATTCACTTCAAGTTTGTAAAGTTTGATTTGATTATCAATCTTATTGATGACCACTCCTAATTCTTTTAGAATTTTGCTAACAAAGAAGTCAAAGGGTCAAATCTTACTTTTTACTTTCGATTTCTTATATTCCTCTCTTTAACGTTTTTATTTACCATTTTTTCAATTTTTTTTCTACCTATTTGAGGGTGTTCTTCACTTCTGCTAAAGATGAAGAATTTGAAAATTTTAACAGTTAGTTCTTCATTGCAAGGGTGATATATTGATTTATATGAAAAATTACCAAGGAAGGTTTGGATTGTTAGTTGTGAACTTAGAACTCAAGATACTTTGCATAAATTGGAAGGAGCCAAATCCTTAAGGAAGCTATGGAGGCCAGTTCAATATTACCAGAATCGTGGGTAGTTTTGATATGTGGTACGGGTACATGATACGATACTTTTTTAGGAATGCGATACGATGAAAGTAGGTTTAGCTGGTACAATATTTTGGATCACAATTCGTTTTGAAATTCTTATGTAGATCATTTTCACTAATTTACAATATTATATGTTACAGAACATTCATAAACATTACTTCTTAAGGTTTGCATAGAATTTTTTCACACTTAATGTCTGAAAAGCTGTCGAAGATGATTCAAATGCTCTTTTTTAGACCGACTGTAGATCAAGATATCATCAAAATAGACCATCACAAATTTTCCTAGGAAAGGATGCAATAACTGAGTCACAACCCTCATAAATGTGCTAGGTGCATTAGACAATCCAAAAGGCATGACCAACTACTTATAAAGTCCATCCTAGGTATTAAAGGCAGTTTTTCATTCATCTCTTGGTCTAATTCGGATTTGATGATAAACACTACGCAAATCTATTTTTGAGAACCAAAGTACACCGGCCAAAAGGTCAAACATATCTTCAAGTCTCAGTATAGGAAATCGATACTTGACTGTAATTTTGTTAATAACACGACTATCAACACACATTCTCCATGATCCATCTTTCTTGGGGATTAATTAAGCAAGGAGAGCACATGGACTAAGACTATGACAAACAGACCCTTATTGCAAAATTTCATCTACTTGCCTTTGGAGTTCAGCACACTCAGTGAGATTTATACGATAATAAGGAAGATTAGCAACTGAGATCCTGAAACTAAGTCAATAGTATGCTGAACATCTCTCATTGGTGGCAACTCATTGGGTAGTTCCTCAAGGATCACATTGTGGAACTCTCTCAATAGACTATCAACCTTAGGCAAAAGATCGTCCTTAGATTCCAAAGGACTCTGAAAAATTTCTTTGACAACTAGAGCTACCACTACGCCAGATCTTTTTTTCTCTTTTTCAAATTCTCTGTGGGTCAAGATGTGAAAGTCTTTATTGTGAATTTTCTGGAAAGATGACCTATGCTTTGAATTATTACCTTTTGAGCGTTTTGCAGGTTTTAACTTGATGCTTTTCTCTTTGTGCTTAAAAACGTAGGTATTGTCCCTTCCATAGTTTGTCACATCTAGATTAAAAAGCCACGACCAACCTAACAATACATGAGCGACATCCATGGGTAAGAAATCACACCATATATGATCTGAATAGGGACCAAACATCTCTGCGAGACTGGCAAGGAGGTCTTGTCAACCCATGCAACCTTGTAAGTTTGTGGGTGTGACTCTGGCTTAAGCTGTAACTGAGCTACAACCGACTTAGAGATAACATTCAATGAACTTTCCCCATCAATGACAACCTTGCAAACTTGACCCCCACATTGGACTAAAGTATGGAAAATGCTGGTGCATTTCCATGCTTTTGTGCCTGAAGGGGTGGATAAGATGCATCTCATCACACTGACACAGGTGTCATCGTTCTGCCATTCTTCCTCACCTTCATCTAGTAACTCTAGGGGTTTCTCATCTAAAGGATCAATTTTTTGGTCAACATCCTCGCCATCAAATGAATTCCTTAACCCTTGGTCAATGGTCAAGGTACGCTAAAGGCATTGTGAATCAATATGACCCTTGTCATGTCAGTGGTGACACTCTATAGAAGAACTATCCTGATAAGAACCCATGAGTGTAGAGTCTCAACCCCTAGTGGCATTACCTCTCGAGTTGGGGTAAGTGTTACCCTTGGATGTGACAGGCCCTGACTGGGGGACGCCTCGAGACTTATCAAATGGGAGTGACCTCAATGGTTGAGATTCTCCAATTTGAGAAGACATACAATGCTGAAAGGGTGGCCTAAGGTATTTTTCAATCTCTAAGGCTTTATAATATGCTTCCTCAACCGTTTTAGGAGAGTATAAGTTAATCTCTCTCTTAATCTCAAGTCTCAAACCATTAATGAATTTTATAGCTATTACCCAAGGCTCTTCCTTTATGTCACATCTCATAAAGAGCTCTTCAAATCTAGTTAGGTAATCAGTCACACTCAAGGTCAATTGATGCAAATTCATCCACTTGTCCAAGAGTTGATGATTATAGTAACTAGGGAAATATTTATCTCACAATCTTTGTTTCATCTCAGCCCATAAAGTAATTGATTGTCCCTCTAAGTGTTCTTGGTCTCGTTGGACTCCCTGCCAATATCTTTTACCCGAACCAACGAGTTTCATTTTAGAAAAGCGAACCCAATGGTAGTCAAACATATCATACCAATCAAAATAGTCATCCATTTCATCCAACCAATCTAAGAAAACAACAAGATCTAACCTACCATCAAAACTAGGAGCATCCACTTTGACTCTTTGTGTGATATCCCTAGATTTTTCATGTAAATGCCTATGTCGAGGATTATGGTAACGCGAAGGGGGATGCCTATGATATCTGACACGTGGTCGGAAGGGCTTACGATAACCATCTATATCACCCTCTACTAAATAGTTAGACATGATTACCTCAACGGAATCCTCTTGAAAATTCCTATGACCTACATTTCATCCAAAAAAAGTATTAGGAGGTGGCCTCCTATCTGGACACTGAACTCGACTCTCCTGAGCTACCTGCAGAGTGGTTAGGACACCTTGACATGAGTCAGAAGGATCTATCGGGAGAGGCAGGTGCCTAACATGGCATGTTTTTCTGAACTTAGTTAAAACTGGTGGCTCACCCTGGTCATACTCTATTAGTCATTTTTCAATAAACTTAATCAATTGGGCTAGTTGAGTAGTAATTTGAGAAAGTTGTTGCCCCATTCCTTTAACTTACTCATGTAACAAGTTGACTGATTGTTTAGTATCAATCATATCAATGGTAAAGATTTCAAATTTTTGTTCTAGTGCAGTATGGGACTCTGAAAGCTCTCGAAGGGTCATAGTGAATGTGATGTAAAATTTGGGCTAATATAAAATGTCAACTAGACTAAAAATTAAACCAAGTAAAAAAAACTATAAGTCAATACAAATGGTCACACACAAGAATAAGTTTATTGTGAAGAGACTCAAATAAACGTGAGACAAACAACAATGAGTTTAACAAGGAATTAGGAAAGCTAAATTACGAAGGTGGTGTGTGGAAAAAACAAACAAAGAAAGTTTAGGTAAGATTTGTTTTTTTTTTTTTGACTTATCAACAAATATAAATATTAGTCAACAATTTTCAACGAAGAGAACTTATACCTGGTGTTAGATATAACTCCAAGAGGCTACTTGACAATTTAGAGGATGATCCTCCAAATTCTAAAATTTTTTGGGGTATTTTTATAATTTTTGAAACTTTTGGGATGATATTTTTGTAATTTTTGGAACTTCTAGGGTGATGTTTCTATAATTTTTTGAATCTACTAGGGAGGTTTTTATAATTTTGGAACTTCTGAATGGTATTTTTGCAATTTTTTTGAAATTATAAGGGTAATTCTATAATTGTTTAGACTTTTGGGAATGTTCCTGCAATTTTAAAATTTTCTGGGGTGAAAGGGTTAAACCCATTGTCTTCTTCATTAAAGATGGACTTCCGACAAACAAGAGGCTGCTACTTCCTTCTTCACGAATAGTTGCAGCACACAGCAAAGACTTTGTTCAATCTTCAACGAAGCACAACGACTACAATGACGATCAAAAAACAGCAGCAACAACTCTGAAGGTCATCGGCGATTACTAATAAACGATAAACCCAACGTGGGTCTCCGATTTACTCTATTGGTTCGCAAAAATACTAATCGAAACAATGACGATTATTTCTGGTTGTGATTAGGAAAAAAATTGGACCAAGAACAATGCAAAAAAGTCACGATGACCGGTGAACAGTCACGATGAACAGTGTGAATGATGAACAATTTTTTATTTATTTTTGGTGATTTATACGAATCGAAATCGGTCTCTGATACCAAATTGATGTCGACTAGGAAGTGAACAATTAAGGATAAGAAAAGAAGAAGAAAGAGGTGAAAAAAGAGAAAGAATTTGAGGAATCAATATTAAAATTCAATAATAATTAAAGTCTGCCAAAACAAATACCGTATCACTTATATATATAAAGAGAACACAAACCCTAAAATAAATAAATAGTCAAAATGACAACTAAGCCTTTGAAAAAAAAATGACAAATAACTCTTAATCGTTACGTCTGTGCATAATATAACGAAATATAATCTGATTCCTACCGTGACATTACTTGTTTTTGTGGTTGAAATTATGTATGAACTCAATCTGATGAAGTATTGACCAAGGAATCAGTACTCCTACCGAATTGGCTTTTTTTTTTTAGGTTGGGTGCTAGCTATTTGGCCAATGTTGGCTATGAAAATTTTTCATAGGAAATTTAAATATTTTATCTATTTGCACAAAAGAATTACACTACCCACAATTTGAATAACAAAGTTTTGTGTTTATAAACTGAACAATGGTATAAGGCCATAATTCTCCTGCATCTCAAATACGTGGGTGTGTGTTTCACTGGTAGGCAAAGGTATGTCTTCTGGGTCTCTTTTGGGTTTAACCCACCTGCAATGTTCATTGCATTCTAGTCCCTTGTTGGTCTGTTGGTACAAAAAATGAGGAATCCTCAGTTCATCCACAAGCATGTCATAGGTCTTGTTCACCAAAGCAATGTCCCTTCTAGCATCAGACCTAAATGTTGAGGTTTTACTGTGGAACCCATCTACTAGATGAAGGTAAGTCTCCAACATATGGAACCCTGAGACGTTAAATCCACGTTTAAGATAAGGAGAAGACCATACATCAAGCTTCAATTCAGCTCCAACATGTGTGTAAACCCAGTCTAGTGTTCCGATTATGTCATCAAACTTCTGTAGGCTTTCATTGAAAACGAGCCCTGGCATGCGAGGGACTAAATCTTGCTTAGCTACAACACGTAGTGTTTTTACTCTCATTTGGTGCAACTCATCTCGAAAAGCTATGTTCCCAACCCTAGGCACACCGAATGATATAACGTTACCATGAAGGCCAGGGAGAGAGGACGCAACTTCATAAGCAGTGAGAAGAGCCAATGCACCTCCTAGGCTATGACCAGTGATTGTAAGGCTCACTTCTTCAGCTCTTGCATTGTAGAATTGCGCTAGCCTCTTCATTTCTTTCATAACTTGTTCCGAGGCACTAGACTTGTTGTACCTAGTTGATTCACTTTTAGATTTGTAAATGCTAAGAAACCCATGTTCCACTTTTGCTTCCCTGTGCCCAATTGGGTCTAACTTCCTTTGAAAATCCTCGTACCACTCTGATGGTGACACTGTGCCACGCCAGACAATGACTATATCTTTTCGCCCGATTCGTCTAGACTCATTATTATCACTAACTCCTATGAATCCCATCCAATTTGAGTCTTTGCTCCATTTGTCCATCAAGTGAGACCTCTCGAGCCACCGAAGCAAATCTATATGTGACATAGCATAAATGTACTTAGTCACCTTATAGCCATGCTTATTAAGGCCTAATTTATCAAAAGTCTACTTTCATTATATCTACAACTCCCACAATACTCCGAGAATGAATCAAAATCGAAGGCATCATACGTTGCTTGCGCGAACTCTCCATATTTCACAATCTCTCGTCGAAGCCACGGGTGAAGGGGATCAAGAAGATTGTCCCACTCATAACCACCTTGAATTTCACGCCTTTTTTCCGATATGTCTTCCTCAGGAGACATAACTGGAGTGTTGTGCTTGTCCTCAATTTTGAAAATCTCAGTAGTATAGTGGAGGGTTTCTTGGGCTGGTGACTCAACATGTAGATGCATTAGGTGAGAGAGTGATTAGGCTAGGCGATTGGACCGGCTAGAAGTTTTTTGATGTGGGCGAAAATCGATTGCAGTTTCTTGATTGGCATAAATTTTCCGAAGCCCATTGGTGTAGGCGATGGTGGATGGGAGGTGAGGTTGGATTGCTTTCATGGTGGCCATTTTGAGTCCCAAGCAGTTCACTAGGAGAGAGGCTTGGGAGATTTTGGTAGCCGAGAAAGTTGAGGTTGAGAGAGAAGATTCTGAGAGTTCAGTAGGAGAGGGGGGCTTCGGATTTTGGTAGCTGAGAAGAGAGAGAGTTTGGTCAGCGAGTGTTGAGATTGAGAGTATATTTATAAGGTTATGTGCAGTTTAAAAAGTAGAAAGTTTTGTCCCATAGACTGGCTAAGGAAACATCGAGGTTGGCTCAAAGATGTAAAAACGTCGTGATTCTTTCAAAATTTTTCAAACTGATACTGTGCATGTCTGAAATTCAAGACCATCATTTTTTAAATCAACTTGTTAACCCCTCGGTAATAAATAATTACATTGAAGTCACATCTTTACGTTTTCAAACTAAATTCCTATAATATAGGTCAAGTTCAATTATCATGGAGTATGTAAGATAGAATTTGTCGTTGCAAAACACCTAGTGTGTAATACTCCCTTCCATAATATATCTAAAAAATATTAGTCGTTTTAAGTATCAAATACAAGTATATCTTATGAATCACTTTACTCATTTATTCTATGCTCAGTTACATTCATAGTTTGTATAAATATATTTAAAAAAATCCGCCCTAGTGGACCATGGTTCAGTCATTATTGAAATTTGAGTAAAATTAAATGTACGTAGTCTTTTCCTTACACACAGAAAAATTATTTCTACGACCTAGAATATTGACATTCATTTGAAAATAAAATAATTTTACCGTCACAACTAAATCAACTTTTAGTCAATTATTCAATGTATCAATTAACTTTTTTTTCATTCGACCATCCAATGGATTTTACCAAGGAAACAACTTTTCACCAAGAAATCAAAAAAAAAAAAAAAACAAAAACCTATTTTATAATCTCCCCAATTTAGCAGTGGCATTTGCGTAGATTTGTTTGAGGAGAAGAATAATTTCGTATTTCTATCATCGTCAACTCTTCGTCAAGACTTCTTGTAGCCATCAACTTTTCTTTTCTTTATTTTTAGGCTTCGGACCAATAGGCAAACTAGGTTTGGATTTTCAACACGCAATCACTAATATTTTCTTGTTCTCATGTGTGAAATGGACCACATTGGGAATCCTAAAATATATTGTTATACTTATAATAGTAAGTCTTTCAAAGCATGTTTGGCAAATGAAATAGACATCCTTAAGAAAACATGAGTAATGTTACTTGGATTTCAATAGTTGTGATCGTTGACGTGTTAATTTTTGGAATCTAAATAACATTACTTTTAAAAACGCAAACACGACAACCGGTGAAGACTAATATACACAGCACTATGATAACTACAATATATATATATGGATATGATATCTACAAATAATTTTGAGACTTATATTTCCTTTTGTTATATCTGTGACCGTTTATGGAAATTGAGAGGTTGATATCATATATGCTTAATACTTATTGAATTTTTGATATGAATCATGCAATTAAGAATAAAATATTAATAACAAAAAAAAATTCATACAATTGACAACCATGAACAGATAAAAAATTTGGTCAAAGATAGTGTTTGATACATTATCTTTAGGACAAATTTTGTCTCCACTCCGATTTTTATGGATTCTTGAGCATATGTTTCTCATGATATAATGATCACATAATAAGAAGAAGTAATACAATTTGTTTGCACACCGAACCAGAAATTATATTTCGTACTCTAAAAAATAGACATTTTAATGATGAAGAGTTTGAAAATAATGACTCTATGTATTACAGAATGTGCAAGTTATTAATGTTGAATGAATATGGACATATTTATAGATGCAGAGGTGATTGTTCACTATAAGCACCACTGATCAGATGCAATCCAGGAAAGTTCACCAGAGATGCCTATTGATGAACAGCCACGAAATAATTCAAATTCGAACCAGTGTGAATTTGAATTCCAACGGATATTAAAAATTAAATTTGGGTAATAAATTAAGGACCTATTTAGCAAAATAATTTTATTCACAAATTTCAGATTTGATCCAACCTAATCCACACCCACACCAACACTAGGGGAGGCCGGAGCAGGCAACAGCGCGCATGTTATCGAACCCAAGTCTATCTAGGTTCTCTCTCATCCACAAAAATGTGGTGCCCTTTGGGGTTCAATCCTTAAAACAAATTTGGGATATACTTTGTTATTCTCTTCACGAAATAGAATACAAACAAAATTTTTTTTACTCAAAATGATAAGCGAGCCTCGCTTTAATTTAAGTTCAATAAACCAAAAATCAAATTTTTTTTACCTACAAACTATTTTGTTCCAACAAAATTAATAAAATAAAGTGACGTAATAAAATAAGCAATTTTTATACATATCAAGTTTTAGCGGAATCAAAATTTTATCTTGAGGTGATCAACAATAACAGACAAAAATTTAATTCAATTGTCATTGTCAATGATAAATTTTTATTTATAAAAAAATTATTAAATTTAATTTTTATGCAATGACATTGAAAAAGTTATTTTTGAACACAAAACTCAAAAGTGGTTTCATGCCATCATAAAAATTTATTTGGAATAATCTCCTCTCTTTTTTCTTGTTTATAATATAACCTTATGTCTATAAATAAATCAAAGTTGCAAATAATCTATATAATAAAGTACAATACAATTCAAATCTCAAAATATAAACAAAATGACTTTTATTTTCACGGTTGAGATCTCTTTAATTTTTACTTTAAAGTTAATCTGACGGTTAATACTAATACCTCAAATTTAATAGGGAAAATAGGCTCCTAAGTATATGTTTGTGATAATTTTTAAAAATGTTTCTAAAACTTCTAACTTTTCATAATTATTTTTATTTTTTGAAAATAGTGTTTGGAATCGTCTCATCACCTCCACCACTACTACCACAAACGCCCACCATCATCACCACTACCGCCACCACTGTTGCCATCCCACCACCACTACCACCACCCCCATCGCCCCACCACCACCATTACAGCCACGCTACCACCCCCCCATCCCAAGCACCACCACTACCGCTGTTGCCACCTCACCACTACCTCTTCCATAATAATCACCACCATTGCCCCACCACCACCATCGTCGTAGCCATCACCATTGCAGCCACCCCACTACCACCCCCTCCTTGCAACCACCATCCCCACTACCATCCCCACCACTATCGCCACCTTATCACCACCGCCACTGTCCCACCATCAACTCTATCACCACCACTATCACCGTTGTTACTCACAGCTACAACCATCACCAACAAATATTGTCACCCATCACAACCATCACTGTCTCCCCCCACTAACACTGTCCCACTCGCTTCACTATAACCGGTGCTTAAATTCTTTTATCTCTTCTTTGTCTTTATGATTTGATTTTGGGTGTAAATTGCATTGTGTGTTTTATCTTAAATATCAATTACTTTAGTCTGATCTGTCTCTATGGATAGAGATCCATCATTGCCCTTTGCCAAATCCTGCTGACGAAGCAATGCCTTCATTTTAATCTTCCATAAACTAAAATTATTCTGACCATCAAAATTTTCTATCTTTAATTTTGCTACAACCATCCCGAAACCAATAGCTCTAATACCAGTTTTTTATGAACCAATGCCACAAGTAAAATAATAGTGCAACAAAATAGAAAAATAGAACACACAAGATTTACTTGGTTCGGCTCAACAAGAAAACATATATCCACGAATGAAATATAGTGGTAAAATTTCACTATTAAAGGTTGGAGATTGCAAAAAATTCTCGAAATAAAGGCTACAAGAGAACGTCTATCTGCTATATCACTATTACAAGATTAATAGTGCCAAAATCTTCTTTAACCAATATTGGCTTTCTCGAAGAAGACCCACAAACAAATAAAGCATACCCAATTTATCACACACACCAAATTGTCGTCCTTGAGCTCTTCAATAAAGTTGACTGCCTACTGCCAATATCCAAAAGGAAATGATGTGTCCACCAAAACTTTTACCAAATTTTTGAATCTCAAATGATGTGTCTCATTGATAGCCATTGGATGGTTAGTGATAGTTTGTGGAATCTACTGATCCTATGATTTATACTGATTTGAGATTCAAAAGTTGGTAAATAATTTGGTAGATGTAGCATTGTTGATATCCAAAAGGCTTTTATATGTAAAGAATATTTCATATAGTCAAAGTCTTAATAAATAAGGAAGTCTTCATGTATTGACCCAACCAAAATTTTTTCCAAAGTGTCCAACTATTTCTTGAACTCTTACTAAGATTGCTTTTAACACAAACACTAATGCCCTCAGATTTATTTGGATCCACGGACTTGGAATACAAGTCATCATAACATGTATATATAGATTATTTTGAAAAATATATATCAAACATTCTTTGCACTAAGAATTTGACTTCACTGATAATTTTTAATTATCGAGTCATTGCCAAAATTACATTATAGAGGTGCTACCGAGCATAATGATCACCTTGAAGGTCCAGAACATTCCCCATAACAATGTCATATTTCAGATATGGCATGTCTCCCCTGCTAATTTATCTAGCTGATATTGTTTGCTTTTGTGGTTGGATTGATGTATGAACTCAATCTGTTGAAGTACTGACCAAGGAATCAATACTCCTACTAGATTGGCTTTTTTTTTTTCTTTTTTTCTGGTTTTTTTTTTTTTTTGTGCATCCTTGATGGGTGCTAGCTGTTTGGTCAATGTTGGCTATGAAAATTTCTCATCGGAAATTTATATATTTTACTAGAAAAAATTACACTACCCAGAATTTGAATAACAAAGTTCTATGTCTATAAACTGAACAATGGTATAAGTCCATAATTCTCCTACATCTCAATTACGTGGGTGTGTGTTTCACTAGTAGGCAAAGTTATGTCTTCTGGGTCTCTTTTGGGTTTAACCCACCTGCCATGTTCATTGCATTCTAATCCCTTGTTGGCTGGCTGGTACCAAAAATGAGGAATCCTCAGTTCATCCACAAGCATGTCACAGGTCTTGTTCAGCAAAGCAACGTCCCTTCTAGAATCAGACCTAAATGTTGAGGTTTTACTGTGGAACCCATCTACTAGATGAAGGTAAGTCTCCAACATATGGAACCCTGAGACGTTAAATTCTCGTTTGAGATAAGGAGATGACCATACATCAAGCTTCAATTCAGCTCCAACATGTGTGTAAACCCAATCTAGTGTTCCGGTTATGTCATCAAACTTCTGTAGGCTTTCATTGAAAACAAGCCCTGGCGTGCGAGGGACTAAATCTTGCTTAGCTACAACGTGCAATGTTTTTACTCCCATTTGGTGCAACTCATCTCGAAAAGCTATGTTCCCAACCCTAGGCGCACCGAATGATATAATGCTAACATGAAGGCCAGGGAGAGAGGAAGCAGCTTCATAAGCAGAAAGGAGAGCCAATGCACCTCCTAGGCTATGACCAGTGATTGTAAGGCTCACTTCTTCACCTCTTGCATTGTAGAATTGCACTAGCCTCTTCACTTCTTTCATAACTTGTTCTGAGGCACTAGACTTGTTGTACCTAGTTGATTCACTTTTAGATTTGTAAATGCTAAGAAACTCATGTTCCACTTTTGCTTCCACATGCCCAATTGGGTCTAACTTCCTTTGAAAATCCTCGTACCACTCTGATGGTGACACCGTACCACGCCATGCCACAACTATATCTCTTCGTCCGATTCGTCTGGACTCATTATCATCACTGACTCCTATGAATCCCATCCAATTTGAGTCTTTGCTCCATTTGTCCATCAAGTGAGACCTCTCAAGCCACCGTGGCAAATCTATATGTGACATAGCATAAATGTACTTAGTCACCTTATAGCCATGCTTATTAAGGCCTAATTTATCAAAAATTCTATTTTCATTATATCTACAACTCCCACAATACTCCGAAAATGAATCAAAATCGAAGGCATCATACGTTGCTTGCGCGAACTCTCCATATTTCACAGTCTCTCGTCGAAGCCACGGGTGAAGAGGATCAAGAAGATTGTCCCAACCATAACCACCTTGAATTTCGCGCCATTTTTCCGATATGTCTTCCTTAGGAGACATAACTGGAGTGTTGTGCTTGTCCTCAATTTTGAAATTCTCATTAGTATAGTGGAGCCTTTTTTGGGTTGGTGGCTCAACATGTAGATGTGGGAGGTGAGAGAGTGATTAGGCTAGGCGATTGGACCGGCTAGAAGTTTTTTGATGTGGGCGAAAATCCATTGCAGTTTCTTGATTGGCATAAATTTTTCGAAGCCCATTGGTGTTGGCGATGGTGGATGGGAGGTGAGGTTGGATTGCTTTCATGGTGGCCATTTGAGTCCCAAGCAGTTCACTGGGAAACAGGCTTGGGAGATTTTGGTAGCTGAGAAAGTTGAGGTTGAGAGAGAAGATTCTGAGAGTTCAGTAGGAGAGGGAGGCTTCGGATTTTGGTAGCTGAGAAGAGAGAGAGAGAGAGAGAGTTTGGTGGGCAAGTGTTGAGATTGAGAGTATATTTATAAGGTTATGTGCAGTTTGAAAAGTAGAAAGTTTTGTCCCATAGACTGGCTAAGGAAACATCGAGGTTGGCTCAAAGATGTAAAAATGTCATGATTCTTTCACAATTGCCCAAATTGCCATCGTGTATGTCTGAAAGTCAAGACAATCTTTTATGAAGTCATCTTGTTATAGCATCTAATTAAATTAGGTCTCTATAGCATTGTTCAAGTTCAATTATCATGGAGTATGAAAGATTGATATGAAACAACTTTTCAAAAATTAACAAAAAAAAACCTACCTTATGATATCCCCAAGTTATCAGTGGCATCTGCGTAGTTTTGCTTGAGAAGAAGAATAATTTCGTATTTCTGTCATCATCAAGTCTTCTTGTAGTCATCGATTTAAGGTTTTTCTGGCTTGGGAGCAATAGAGTTTCAACACGCAATCACTAATACTTTTGTGTTCCCATGGACAACATGGGGAATCTTAAAATGTATTCTTATTATTGTAATAGTCAAGTCTTTCAAAGCGTGTTTGGCAAATGAAATAGACACATCCTTAAAAATACACGACTAATGTTACTTGGATTTCGTTGATTGTGAACGTTGACGTCAACGAATAGTGTTAATTTTTGATGTCTAAATAATATTTTCCTAAAAATGTAGACACGACAATAGGTGAAGACCAATATACACAACAATATGGTAACTAAAAAAATTTTGATCAAGTGTTTGACACTTTATCTTTAGTACAAATTTTGTCTCCCCTCCGATGTTTAAGTACTCTTGAGGGCATGTTTTTCATGATATAATGATCATGTAATAAGAAGAAGTACTACAATTTGTTTGCACACCGAACCATAAATTATATTTCATACTCTCAGAAAATAGACACTTTTAATGATAAAGAGTTTGAAAATAATGACTTTATATATTACAGAATGTTCAAGTTATTAATTTTGATTGAATATGGACATATTTATAGATGCAAAGGTGATTGTTCACAATAAGCACCATTGATCGGATGCAATCCAGAAAAGGCACCAGAGATGCCTATTGATGAACAGCCACAAAATAATTCAAATTCAAACTAGTGTGACTTTGAATTCCAACAAACAGCAAAAGATTAAATTTGGATAAGAAATTAAGGGCTTATTTAGCAAAATAATTTTATCCAAAAATATAAGATTTGATCTAACCCAATCCACACACACACCAACACCAAGGCCGACCGGAGAAGGCAGCAGCGCGCATGTTATCAAACCCAAGTCTATCTAGGTCATTTCCCGTCCACAAAAATGTGGCGCCCTTTGGAGCTCAATCCTTATAACAAACTTGGGATATACTTTGTAATTTTCCTCACGAAATAGAATACAAACCAAAAAAAATTTACTCAAAATGATGAGTGAGACTCGCTTTAATTTAGTTTCAACAATCCAAAAATCGAATTTTTATACCTACAAACTATTTTGTTCCAACAAAATTAATAAAATAAAGTGATGTAATAAAATAAGCAATTTTTATAGATATCAAGTTTTAGCGGGAGAAAAATAGCATAAAGTTTTCAAGGCCGTACCATAGTTAGATATTAATCTATACTACTTATAAATGTGAACATATGTGAAAAAATTTTAATTTTTTATTTTATCCTTAATTATTTTTATAAAGTCAATTATACACACATATTTGCTTTCATCTAATTTTAATATTTTCTCTAGCTATTAAGCTTATAAGTTCTTTTAGACTCTTTCAATAGTAATATTTCACTTCTAAATTCTTTTAGACACATTTATTGGTAGTACACTTATAATATACATATATATATATATATATATATATGTATATGTTGTTGAAAAATTAAATTTTACTGTCCATTATATGTCACATATAATTTTGTTTATATGCAACAATATCATAATATTATGACACAAATAATAGTTTATAATTTTATCAATCTATTAGATATAAAACAAAATATAATGATATACTTAAATGTACAAATACTTAAGAATGATAATTTTACAATAAAATTTCACCATACCCAAAAGAGAAAATGTCTAAAGAAGTTGGGAAGATACGTAAAAATGACAAATTAAGTGCTCAAACAAGAGCAGGGTAGATCAATAATTAGATATGGTAATAATTAATATAAGATTTAATTATTCGACATACAATTTATTATTTAAATAAATTATCAATTTAATTTATTTTTTTTATAAAAAATTATTATTTAAATATATTCACATGCAAAGCACTTTATATACTACTTTATAATATAAAACAAAACAGACTTTAATAAGCTCATCCAACAGTGTGAAATAAACTCATCTAACTAGCACCATCATACCACTCTAACATTTCCAGGCAAATGGTGGGTCAACTGATTGGTTGTCAAAGTAGGCAACACCCACCAAAATGTCTCATGTGAATCTCGTTGTGATTAGAGTAATAGTGTACAAAGGATCCGATTTGTTTTACCGCAAAGTAATTATATTTAATGTATTGTACTATCTTTCCTCAGTTTTGAATATATGAGTTTCATATCCTTGATTAGAATAATGCTATATACGAAGATATCTCTCTCAATATTGTTTTTAACCATACAATAATACTGTCAGGGACGGAATCAGAGTTTTATCTTGAGAGGGTCAACAATAACATAGACAAAAATTTAATTCAATAGGTTTATTCGATTGTCATTATCAATGATAAATTTTTATGTGAAAAATTTATTAAATTTAATTTTTATGCAATGACATTGAAAAAAATTATTTTTGAAAAAAAACTCAAAAGTGATTCATGTCATCATAAAAATTCATTTGAGATAATCTCCTCTTTTTTTTCTTATAAATCATGGTCACAAATAATAGTTTCATATGATATTATAATAACAATGAATTATAAGTCAACCAACTGATTTTGATATAAACCATATTTATTTCTATACACTTTTTTATAAAAAAAAGTCACTTATTTTTTCTCTACATTATCAAAATAATTCAACAAGTATCTTCGTCAGTATAAACGACACTCATTCATTTTGATTACATCCTAAATAGTTACTAAACATTAAGTTATTAATCTTTTTGAATACATTAGGGTGAGATATTTACACATTTGGTGTTTTTTCTAAGTTTATATGTGAAGGATTAGAGTCACGATAACAGTTTCTCCGAATACTGAAATAAAATTGCATATATCTTATCTTCTTCAGATTCTACAATACTAGGTCATATTTATTTTTATTTTTTGCTACAGGATATTTAACTTGCGCCGACTACTCCGCTCGGATACTAGTCATCATGGCTCGAGGGAGTTTAAAACATGTTTCTTAAGAAACAAAAATGACTGACCCTTAGAGAATATAAAAAATATTGAATTTGAAACTTTTAAGTTATTAGTGACCAAACTTAACCACTAAATCATCTTTAAATTTTCTACACATTATGATTTGTGGTATTCGTAACTTAAATATTGTCAAATGTGCGTGCAGGATCTTGCACAATATAAACACGAGAACAAATCTCTCCCGTGGTGAACACGAGTCAGTCAATCGAATGGTCAACCTTGCTGCTTGGAACAGACTGTGAGAACCGGTGGTAGCCTGAAACGGTAATGGGTGACTTTTGTGGGTCGTCGGAGCGGTCTAGTAAGGCTGAGGGAGGTTCCTGAAACAGAGAAAAACGAGTTAGGAGGGCGCCGGAGTATTTTTGGCGTATCCTCTCCGACGATCAAATCAGTTCCTTGAGAGAGGAGAAGAAGAAAACACTATGTATAGGTTTGAGAAAAGGTTTTTTGCATACCGTCTTGCCTTTTTGTGAGGAGTATTTATACCTTTAAAACTCATGATTGTTGTCAGTGTGGTCATTAGGTGATCATTAGAGGTGGGTAACGTGCATACTGATTTTCAGGAGAAATGACATCTTTCTTAATTGCTCGGGATCCCAAGTCGTGTGTTAGCAAGGGCGTTATGGTCTTTTTGTCCATGAACTGACACAGTATGCCACGCGTCGGCTCCCCTTTGGTTGAGTCCTCTTTTTTCCTGTGCATTCTGACACCATCCAGGTAGAACCAAGTCATGATGGCTAATCTAGACTAGCCTAGGTTGATGTCCTGTCTATCAACAACCTTGCAGGAACAGAATGTCGATGTAGTGGATACACCTCGGTGCTGAGGGCCTAGTACAGTTAGGGACCGACGTACCCCCTATTCGACCGAGAAATACATGTCAAACCCCCCCGTGCATACCGGCGTCGTAGGTCCTTATGCCTAGTACCCTTCTCGGGGGAAAGGGGGGATCATGGCCCGACGAGCACGTGTCGTGACCACAGCAGAGTATTTCCCTTGACGTCGAGTACACGTGTTGCTTATCTTGGAGTGTCTGGAAATGTCCCATCAATTGCCCCCCAGCCTTCGATCTTCTGACACCAAGGACACGCGTAGTAAAGAGACGAAGGGTTCTGCAACAACCCCAACCACTTCATCATTGCCACTAGTCGCTTTCCCTTGCTTAGGAGGTCGTGCGCATTAAATGCGTATTTCGTGCTTCGTGCCCAATGATGGGGATATGTACTATATATAAATGGGCTTCCTCTCTCCCTTTCTCATTTTGCCATTTCGAACTTCTTCAGAGAGCCCTTGCCTAAAATCTCACCGGAGACCCATTTCCTTTCGTTGTCTGCTGCCCAATCTTTCACCAGAGTGTTAAGGCCAACAGACCCATCCTTGCTTCTGAACATCCTGATGGAAGGAATCACTTCAAGTTTTCAAGAAAAAATTTTGTTTACGTTCTGGTGAGTCCTTGTATTTTCCCTCTCTTCGCCCTTCTGTCTCTTCTTCTTCTCGTTGTTTTTATGTTCTTTTGATTTTTCGATAATCGGAGGTGTTTCTGGTTGCCATTCTGTGACCAACCCTCGGG